AACAGAAATGTGGAATGAAGGAGTGATAATCTCACTCTTCTTGGTGCCGATTAGTCCTCCCTTGAAAAATCTGCATTTTATTCTTTAAGAAAAAGAAGTTGGGCATGGTGGTGCATGATTGCAATCCCAGTGGATCAAGAGGTTGACACAAGAGGATCACAGGTTCAAAGTCAACCTTAGAAATTTAGTGAGGCCCTAAGCAACTTAGCGAGACCCTGACTCAAAATAAAATAGAAAAAAGGGCTGGGGATTTGGCTCAGTCATTAAGCAATACCTGGTACAAAAAAATATATATATTAGAGAAAACTGAGGCATGAGTGATGATGACAGTAAGGGGTTTTGCAGTAAGTGGCCTACAAGGCAGGATGGGGTAGTGGAAAGGACTCAGGCCAGGGAATAGGAGTCAGATGACTTTGTTAATGGGCTTCAAGATTCTGGCCAAGCCAATATTCCTCTTGGGAGCTTGTAACAGGACTCCCCAAGGAGAAGACGGTGGCAGCTGGCTTTCTCTCTAAGGTTTTGGTCCTCTGCTCAGGCCCCATTATGGGTATGTTTCTTAATCCCAGCCAGGGACAAGGCCTCCTGAGTCCCTGAGCATAAATTTGCATTGTTGAAATGCTGTTCAAAAATGATAGCAATTCCCTTGGAATACCTTCAAAAACAGACCTTCTCTGACTTCCGGGGAAGCCAAGACGGTGATAATTCACATCAACATCACCACACACATTAAGACTTTGAAATCATATGGACCTGAGTTCAAAACTCAGCCTCTCCTATGGGCTTGCCAAACACAGGCAAGTTACTCAAATTTTCTGAGACTCAGTTTCCTTGTCTGTGAGATGGCATTAATTCAGGTTTGTAGTAATGCAAATATTAAGAGGAGACAACTCACGTTCAAATATAGCATAATATGAGACACAAAGTAGATGCCGAATAAATGCTATAACTAGTATTATTATGACATTTATTACCACCTTCCCTCTTTTTTCTTCCTTCCCCTCATCTCCTCTGGGCTAGTCATGATGTCAGGGCAAATGATATGGTGTAGAAAATAAAATGGACATAGACAATCCTTGCCTGCACTAAGTTTACACTCTAACCAGCATAGTTCAGTTGAACTTTTTGCAGTGATGAAATGTTCTGTCTGTTCTCCAATTTGGTAACCAAAAGCCATATGTGATGTTTATTAAGCACTAGAAATGTGACTAACATGACTAAAGACTGGATTTTTAATTTTATTTCATTTCAAAGATTTAAATGAACATGGAAAGAATGTCATATGGAAATAGACAGGGACCTTTCTAAGGCTGACCAGGCTTAAAAGAATAAATATGCTGAAAGAAAAATGCATATAAGGAACCCAATACAGTGCCTGGAAATCTTTATTTGTTCATTCCTCACATTTAATTGTCAATTATGCACTGAAACAATCTCAGGTGCTGGGGAATATAGGAAAGAATTAGGCATGGTCTCTGTTCTCAGGGAACTCACAGTTTAGTGGGGGATATGCAAATAACTGATTTCACCACAGTGAGGTAAGTGTATGTACAGGTGCTGCGGGTTGAGAGTCCCAACTCCAGTGAACAGCAAGGGAGGGCTTCTCAGAAGGACATTTTAAGTCATTAGCTGAGTCTTGCAAAAGTAAATCTTAGAGTGGGGCTCAACTGTAGTTACTCCATGTGCAATAGTAAATTGTACCCCAGGGCTAAGCCTACTGCTTGTGGCAGAGGTGACTAGGGGGCAAATACAGATCTAGAGAAAACTCATAGCTACAGTCAATTTGCTTTCTTTCAAAATTGTGTGTATGTGTTTTTAGCCAAACTCTGTTACTTATGATGTAATATCAACTCCTATTATGATGGAATTCTACACATTCATAAGTGAGGGTTATTAATAGTTACTTGCATGAAGAAGTGAATGTTATGTTATGCACATTTATATATTTTCACAATAGTTTATTTGTTTAAAATTAACATGTGACCTTTAGCCAAAGAATTCTACATATCTTCATTTGATTTCTATAATCACAGTTGAGTATATAAAGTATGGTGATGTGTGTGGTTCCTTCTCCTATGGGGTTAGGGAATGTTTCTGTGGTGTGGCTTGGTCTTGTGAGGCCCTGAACAATGTCACCTGCTTTGACTATAACAGTGTTGCCTCTGGTGAATGGAAGTATAACTTGGTGTAGCCCTTTTGAAAAGTGACTTCTGATATATGTTGGGAGCTTTCAAACAGTTGTGCCCTTTGGCCCAGTGATTCTACTTCTGGGAATCTATCCAAAGGAAGTAATTGGAAATGTGTGCAGTAAAGACTTTGCCCAGAGTTATTTGTAGTTGTTAATAATAGGAAACAACTTACATGACTAACAGTGTGATAATATGTAGCCAGGATAATGATGTTCATGAAAGACTTTTGCTGCAACACCAATTAAGAAGAAAAGTAGAGAATAGCTACAGAGGTGAAGCATCCACGTTGTGGGGTCAGGCAGCTTGGATTTGAATTCTGGCTCCATTGCTTACTAGCTGCCTGACTTCAGCAAGTCACCTGAACTTTATGCAATCCTAGGGAATTGGGGTTGATAATAATACTATCTATCTCAGAGGGACTTCTGAGGAGTAAATGACATAATGAGTATAAAATGCTTAACACCATGCAAAGTATATTTACTAGGTTACCTATAAATGTTGGCCCTCTATAGACTGTATAATTTCAAGTCATAAAAATAGATGGAGAGGCTGGGGTTGTGACTCAGCGGTACAGTGCTCACCTAGCACATGCAAGGCCCTGGGTTCGATCCTCAGCACCACATAAAAATAAATAAATAAAATAAAGGTATTGCGTCCAACTACAACTAAAAAATAAATATTAAAAAAATAGATGGAAAAGAAATATGTCAATATATGAATAGTGTGAGGCCTGGTGGCAAAATCATGAGTGATTTGTTTCTTTGCAGTTTTCAACTTCCAAAATTTTCTGCAATAGACTCAGCTTACTTTTATACTAAAAGAGTATAACATAGGGTTGTCATACAGTCAGATATTTTTAAAAAAGAATTTTACCACAATGAAAGTATTTCTCTTCCTTCTTCCTCTTTCCCTTCCCCAAAGGAGCTGGGGGCCAGCCCTGGCAGAGCCTCACACATGCACAGTCTGGGCCTCTGGGAGTGTCAGGGCTGAAGGGATCCTTGACACTTTTTTGTAGTATTGTGTGGGAAGTTGAGGGGAAGCTAGAATAAATATCTTAGTAGCCTCTCCTATCTCTGAGAAGCTACATTCCAAGTTACTCTGATGTTTATCACCTTATCACACCCTCCCCCCAGTCTTGGTTGATCTGAACCAAACATCACAGAAAAAACGTAAGGAGGGAAGGACTCATCTACCAGCTTCCCACCAAAACCCCTCTCAGAAAAAAATACCTGTCATAGCACCTGTAATGCTGGACTTAAACACACTAACTCAACTGGCAAAACAACAAAACTCCACTTAGATCAGGAGTAAAACAAAAAGTTAGCTTAGTTGCAGCCACTTTATTTAGTAAGTACAATTTATATTCAGAGTGGAATTTCTGGCAAATACAGTCCTTTCTAACATGACAAATGTGGAAATACCTTCCCACATTAGGCCATATCCCTGGAATGAGAAGGGCAATAAAGCTTAAAAGGGTGTGTGTGTGTGCATGTGTGTGCACTGGGTTTGTGATCAGACCTTGACATTTGAGCCCTATGATCTAATGTCCTTCATTGACAACGAAGGTACACACCTGTGCTCCAGCAAGTGGCTCTGCACGCTGTATTTTATAACAGAATCCCAGGCACAGAAATAACCAAGTTGATGCCCTCATCTGGACCAGAAGGGCAGTTTCTGGTCCTGTGACTTGACCACTGTTCCTCAACATGTCTAGAGGTGACCTCTGTGCACCTTTAGATGCAAGACCCCCTGAAATGAAAGCATGACAAACAGCCTTCCTAGGCCTTCCTCCCCACAGAGAGGACAACGTATGCTAATGAGGCCTGGGGAGATAACCGCTCAGCACCGACCTGGGAGACCACGGGTTCACAGCGCTCCCGCGCGCCACTGCGGCGCAGCCACAAATCACCTTGCTTTGCATCAGACCCTCCTGCCGCCTGGGGCGATTGGAGGAAGGGTCTTCAATGCCACCCAGAGTTCCACAGCTGGATCGCTCACGTCTGGGTAATGTCTCCTCTGCCTCGTCCCGTGCTTTCCACTGCAGTGATGGCGGGGATGGAGGCGACATAGCAGAATCACCTGTGGGGCTTTGTGGAGCTCCACAGCCCCCTCCCAAAATTCTATTCCACTCGTTGGGAGTGAAAGATCTCAGATTATGGAGGGAGAGGTGGACTGGTGGAGTTTGTGAAAGCCCCACAGGTGATTCTGAATCCCGCCCCTCAAGACACAAACACACGCGGACACAGCTTGCTCTGAGACTACACGGGTTAGCGTTAGATTTTCTTCCTGATCCTCCCCTTTCTTTATCTGCCAAGTTGTCCGTGTTCTCTTCAGCTTCCCTGTTAAGCCCACCAACCCAGAGGCTTTGTGGAGTGCCTCAAAGTCTGGCCGCGGGACTGTAGAAGGCACTGGCGGCCAGACATTAGGAAAAGCGCCTCGTGCTCTTCGCAGCTCTATGCTCCCAGGAGCGCAAACTGGATTCCAAGGAGCCAAGGTAAGTGCAGAAGGTTAGAAATTCGACCAGTTGCTTAACCAAACTGCCTGTAGCAAGGCCGCCTTTCTTCGCAAGCCCTTCGGTCTGGGGACCTCCCAATCACAGAGGGAGCCGGCGCCCCACCCTGCACCCCTCCAGTGGAGCATCCCCTCCTGCAGCTTTGTGGCAGGTGGCACTGCCAGGGCGGGTGCAGTGGCCTTGTCTGCAGCCTCTTCCCTGACCATGGGACCAGCTCCTGCTTTGCCCTCGTTTTTCCAAGTTGCTACACCCCGAGCCTCCGGAGCTAGAGACCCCCTCCTTTACGACGGCAGCGGTCTTACCTCACTGTGCAACACTTGGTTGCGCGGTTGCCTGGGGCGCTCCTTTCTCGAATCTTATTCCCTTACTTGGGAGGAAAGAGGAACCGAGAGACAGAAAGGGGACCGAAGCTGGCGTCTCGGCGTCTTCCCGCCCGCGCAGCCTTCTCGGGGGAGGGGGATGACGGCTCCAGTGCGCTGCTCGGAGATAAAGCGACCCGCCTGCCGTTAGGCAGCTCCCAGGGTCTTCCACCTCTGCTGGGGGATCCGCAGCTTGAAAGCAGTCTATCTCGCCTGCCCGCTACTACGGCACTGCGGCTCTGCACCCTGTCCCTCGCAGCCTGGCAAGTCCAGCTGCCACTCTTCACCGCGGAGCCCTGCCCCCGGGCTCAGAGCCCGCCCCCTCCACGGACCCGCGCGCGCGCATACACACGCTCCACACACAAACACGCGCGCATATACTTACACATGCGCGCGCACACGCACACACATAAATGCGGATGCATTCAGTGGGGACCTGAGCCCCTTTGATGTAACTTGAGTGCCAGCAGGTTGGGGCGCTTCTTACCCGCAGGGCTTTGGCTTGGTAGGAGGAGTTACGGGCTTAGAGGTGCAGAAAGGATGTAACAGTGATGGGCATCAGAGGCCAGCTGACCAGGTGGTGGAGGACGATTGTTAAATCAAATATCCACTGGGAATTTCTTCCTTTTCTTAGCTTAGAAACCTAGGGTTCAAGTTGCTTTAATATCTTAACCAAATTAGAGAAAATAAATATTTAAAAATTCAACAAGTTTTCTGTTTCCCAGGAACTCAATGTTGTTAGTATCCAAATTATGCCCCTGGACATTTCTCACAACTCTGACCCTGGTGGCAGTGGATTGGTGGCTGCTCAACCAGAAAAGATTTTCTCCTCTCCAGGTATATATGGTGGGGGTGCTGTGCAGCCTTTCAGAGCTGGACTCGGATGGATGGATCAGGTCTCAGGAGTGTGGTTTATAAATTCCCTCTTTTGCTTTTAGGTGACCTTGAACTGTTTTCTTGCAGAACAAATGGACCACATTTTTTAAAAACAGAAAACCCCAGAAAAGGGGCTGTGAATGATGAGGAGAGGCCCCACTGGCCAAGGCCCTGTAACTTGTTGCGTCTGCTCTTTCCATGACGCGCATGTGTACATGGGGGGTGACGGTGGTAGTGATGCTATTTCAGCCATATCACACCAGCAGGATGACTTCTGTCCATTTCACACCACATTTAGAATCACCAGGAGTTTAGACTGTCATCTGTAAAATATGTAGAGTTTACCAGTTTCCACAGCTGAGAATTCTTTTCTGCTAACGGGCGATGAAGGTCCCTGGTCCAGGACTGCAGCCAAGAAAAGCTTTCTGCAGAGTGCAGAGGCACCGAGGGGCACTGGGTGGCTGGACATTTGGGGAAAGACACTGCATGCATGGATGTCAAATTACCCTGAGGACTCTGAGCAATGCACAGGCAGGTGGATGGGATGGATGGATGAGGATCTGAGACCCAAAGATGTTCCTGAGGTTCCAAATGGTGATGAAAGCAGAGCTGATACCAGAACCCCGTGCTTGCCATTCAGCATTCACACTTCATCCTATCCCCCTGATTTGGTTTTCAAAGCTCCCTTTAGCTAGTCTGAAATATTGTCGGTGACGGTGCTCTTTTATTTGCTCCTGTTTCCTCTTTACTCACTGACTCATTCATTTCACAACTATTTATGAAGTGTCTACTGCATCTTCAGGCATTTCCCCCTGACTCCAGTTCTGGGTCTTACTTGGGAGGAAAGAAGAATGGAGAGACAGAAAAGACTCGGAACTGTTCTGTTCCTGTTTTTGGTAGAGGAAACCCTGGTCACAGGCTTACTTTATGCATCTTCACTATATAGGTTGCATGGATGTAGAAGACTCAGTCCTTGTCATCTGAGCTTTATCCTCCATGGAGGAAAACATACTCACATACATGTCACAAGAAAAAATATTCTAGGCTTGTCTGTTCCTGATTTGTTCTAAAGAAGATTAAACTGAAAAAGAGCCTGTTTTTGGCTGAGTGTCATGATAGACTGGAGGATGCATGAGAGCAGTTGGGAGTTGAGGCAACATTGGGCTTTTCTGCCTGTTAGGATAGAAAGACAATGAGTTTGATCTGACAAATGGGAAAGACACACAGGGACAGTTTAGAGATTCACTGTGGCTGGGAGCACATTAAGTGATGAGAAACTCTCAGGACAAGGCTGCCAAGTAAGCACTTGGAAAATGGCATTGCTTGCAAAGATTGGTAAATAGTTTTCTGTGGGATGGACTATGAAAGTACCTGTTCCTATAAAGTAAATCTCTTGTAAAGTCAAGATTGTTCACCAGATTGTTTGTGAATGAGTCTTTTGGGGGAAGCTCAGGATAGTGTGTAGTTAATTAAGCATCTGGGTTGATGCAGGATGAGTACCCAGAATCTTTTGTGGACAGAGGGCTAAAAGACACTGACCACTGGGTTACGTGCTAGTAACATGGAGGAATAGGGTTTCAAGAGAGATCTAAGTAAATGGAAGGCAGAGTGGAATGGGAGTGGTAAGAAGTACCAAGAAGAACGGGTAGTGCTCTTTGAAGCAACATGGAGGAGACTGGGTTTTGGGTGGGATTTGAAAGAGGCAAAGGGATATGACCCAAAGAGCAGCAGGAAAGGGGCACTGAGGTAAAGCAAAAACAGAAAATTAGGACAACTCATGGTAGGTTCTGGGTCTTCCCAGTAGAAGAGAAGAAGGTTGCGACAGTGCTGCAGAGGGCCTTCCAAGGTCCTGCTGGCAGCATAGACATGGCAAGAAATTATTGCAGGTGTGTCTTGATTATTATTATTATTATTATTATTATTGGTTTCCATTTGTTTATAACAGGAAAGATGCTGGGAAATATGTTGGGAAGTGTTCAATGCAGCTTTCCCAGAGTAGGCCTTCCCCATCAGAATGGAGAGCTAAGGAGGGTTGTGGAGAGAAAGATCTTGTTGCTGCCCTTGAAAAGAGCTACAGCTCAGGTGGTATAGGAGCTCACTGCACAGGGCACCCAGCTGGGGGACTGGATTTTAGCCCACACTCCACTGGCTCAGCCATGCAACCTGGCAGGGCTGGGTCTGCCCAGGGGAGGGGTATCTTTTTTCTAACCTATGCAGAGGCCTGGCTCCTGAGCCCTTTTTTTGAAAAGTCAGAAGCCACTGTGAAGCAAATGAAAATTTATTGAGCATCTGCTATATGGCAGGTATGTAAAGGCTCTTGAAGTCAGGACTGTCTGTGAGCCTGCACACATTTCTGCTCTTGGGTGACACTCTGACACATGCTGTAGGGTGCAGAGGAAGAAACTCGGCTTCTCAGATCATTTACAATCTGGGTCAACAACAAAACACTCAAAATGGCTAAGAAGCAGTAAAAGAAGTATAGAATCAAGTGTCAAACTATATAGAGCAGATTCCGGGTGTGAAGACAAATCTCCTCTGGGATTGAAGAGTTCAGGTGAGCTTCAGGGAGGAGGGCTGGGTTTGTGAGTAGTACATGTGTTGGTTCTAAGTTAGAGGAAAGAGTTGTGAGCAAAATGCCAAGGGAGGGAATTTGGGGGCTTCTGGGTGTGGGATTTTAGGCCCTGTGGCTTCCCTAACACCCTCCCAGTCACAGAAGTGCTATGATGAGTCACCCTTGTTTTTGAGAGACAGGGTAGTTTGGGATGTTTAACTGGCTCAACACTTTCTATTCCCTGAGATTTCAATGTTGGCAGCCAACACTCACCCTGTTGCTCTGGGAACACATCAGCCAAGCCAGCAGCTGATGCCTGGTCTTTACTGCCAAGGCAAAGCCAAAGCTGAGACAGGTACCTGTGCCTGGAAATCTTTCAGTCCCACTATCTCTGACCAGCTGGGTGGCACTTGACTCTTTGAGCACAGCTGAGATCAGGACTACCAAGCACAAGGTAGGCTTGGTGGCTTGGGACCAAGAGAGCTGAGTTCAGGCTTTGGGGGCTCTGCTTGTCTTTGTTAGTCTCAACTTCCTTATACACAAAAGTAAAGGATTACACCAGATTGTGGGCAAGTTCCCTCCCACCTAATGATTCACGATTTCAGAGTGAGATCTTTCATTTTATCAGGCAAGACAGGTTGGGAACTGCTATTATCCAGGTCCCAACCTTAGCTTTCCTCTTGGCTTTGATTGTTAAAGTCATGTTTAAGGAGGCTTGTGAGACTGGAATAGGGACAGAATTGTTATAATTTTGTCATGAAAGGAATTTGTGGATCCAGCCCTGAGATTATAGGCAGGTTCCCCCACTTATCTTTCTAGCTCTGATACTGTGCTATGTACTGTCCAACTTTTAAGTACTGCCCCTGGGTGGGATTCCTCCATAAAGCAAGCTGGGAAAATCCCTACAATACCAGCTGATAGGCATTTAAAAAACACACAAAAGAGACACTGTGATGTTAAGAGTAATAAATAGGTCATTTATATGGAGTTGAAAGATCTAGGTGGGTGTCTTCAAGTCCCAGTTTCCTGTTCTGTTGTACGGGTATAGTAATATCTACATCAGTGGGTGGGGTAATGATTAAATGAAGAAGCATATGTGAAAATGCTTTGTCAATTTTAGAAGTGCTATGCAAAAATGTAAAGTATTGCTATTAAAGATAATCTGTTTCCCAAAGACAATCTTTTTTTTTTTTTTTTTAAGCTCAATTATCCTAGTACTTGCTCAATTGTCTGCTTCCTAAGAAGCAGCAATGCAATTCAGGTCAGCATCCCTGTCTCTGTGCTCCTAAAGATAGTAGTATCTTAACATAAAAACTTAATAAAGAAGCTGGCCGACTTCAGGACTGACTAATAAACAGACGGCAAACCTGCCCCTGCCCGGAACTCTGCAATGTCACTGAAGTTGCACACAGTGGTTTTCTTGGGAATGTTGATTGAGTTTACTTGAAAATGAAGGGGACTCTACTCATCCAAGACCCTGCATTATTGCCTATTGAGAGCAGCATGGTGGAAAGAAGGGAAGGGAGGTGTGAGGGAGGAGGGAGAAAATGGAAGAGAAAAGCTTTTGCCTTCCTGTTATATTTTGGGCAATGGACTCTATCTTTATGCTTTAATGTGCTTGTAAAGAAGCTAATTTTGGTTCACTACATTACTCCGGGTTTGTTTTCTGCTCTGCCTGGTCAGGAGACACTGCTGTGGAATTCTTCACTGTGGTCCCTGGGGGGGATGCTTTTCATGGGGAACGCTGGGAAG